GTAATTTTTGATGATCTATCTGTGTCAAGTTATCAGTTACCCCCATGAACCACTCGTGGGAAACCTAAAGTACAATATTCTCCTGATATACATACTAAGTCTAAACATCTCATTAGCTATTATGTGTCAACTCATCGTTTGTCTAAGTCATATGCATCATATTTGTGTCAATTATTTAATGTATGTGTGCCAACTAAGCTGCATGATGCTTTTTCTGACCCCAAATGGATGGATGCTATGAATGTTGAAATAGAAGTTTTGAAAAAGAATGAAATTTGGGATTTAGTCCCTTTACTAACAGGGAAGAAAGCTGTTTGGTGCATATGAGTGTTTACTTTGAAGCATAAAGTTGACGCTTCCATTGACCATTACAAGGTTAGATTTGTAGCAAAGGGTTATACTCAGACCTATGGAGTGGATTATTTGGAGACTTTTGCTCCAGTAGCAAAGCTCAATATTGTGTGTGTGCTCTTGTCCCAGACTGCAAAAATCTTCAGAAGTATCTGGCTTCTGAGTTTGAGATGAAATCATTGGGTGATTTGAAGTACTTTCTTGGAATTGAAGTTGCCAGATCTAAACATGGTATCTTTCTGTCCCAAAGAAAGTATGTTTTGGATTTACTTGCAAAAACTAGAATGTTGGATTGTAAACCAATTGATACCCCTAGTAAACAGAATCATAAGTTGGAGTTGTATCCTGATCAAGTTCCTATTGATAAAGAGCGTTATCAACGACTTGTAGAGAAATTGAATTATTTAGCTCATACACGTCCTGATATTGCATATGCAGTGAGTGTAGTGAGTCAATTTATGCATTCTCCTAGTGAAGATCATATGGGTGTTGTGATGTGTGTTTTGTGGTATTTGAAAGTAACTCCTGGCAAAGGGTTAATGTTTTCCAAGTATGGTCATACAGATGTGGAAGGGTATACGGATACTGATTGGGCTGGTTCAGTCACTAATAGATGTTTTACGTCTGGGTATTTCACATTTGTTGGTGGCAATCTTGTTACTTGAAGGAGTAAAAAGCAAAAAGTGGTGTCTCGGTCTAGTGCCAAAGCCGAGTATCGTGGGATGGCTCAAGGTGTGTGCGAGTTACTATGGTTGAAGAGATTGTTAAGAGATCTTTGGTTTGTGCCCCAAAAAACCCATGGATTTGTATTGTGATAATAAAGCTGCAATTGCGATTGCTCATAACCCTGTGCAACATGATCGTACAAAGCACGTGGAGGTTGATCGACATTTTATTAAAGAGAAGGTGGATGCTGAGATTGTTTCTTTTCGGTTTATATCATCCGAGTATCAACTGGCAGATGTACTTACGAAAGCTGTGTCTACTACTGTCTTTCTCAACTCGCTTGACAAGTTGGGCATGCGTGACATCTTTGCTCCAACTTGAGGGGGAGTGTTAGCGAGATCCTAGCTTAATTAGGAGATTTATTTCCTAGTCTATTATGACTCTATTTCTTTCCTTTTTGTACAAATATTGTCTAATTAGGATTTTATCTTATTTTCTTATATAACCTTGTATTATAAATATCTCATTTTAGAGAATGAAATATATCTGAAAATATTCTACCCATATTATTAGACTATAATGAGTACCTTATGTAAGGCCCTTAGATGAGTTTTGGGTAATCTCACATTTTCTCCTTGACCTCAAATTTGAAGCTTGATAAAGAATCCGAGAATCCAAATTTTTAGAAGCATGAGTAAAGCCTACTAACTCACTTATTTTTTATTTTTTCCTCCAAACCCACAAACTCATTTTTCAAAATCTTGGGCTTTGTTCTGAGTATTGCCACAAAGGAAGAATTGCAGTAAAGTGAATTTCTGATTCTTTCATAAACGTAAGGTTAAGCCCAGCCTAGTGTCCATTGCCAATCTTTTGCAGGGAGCTTGAGTTTTGCCCAATTCAATGCTTGTTTCATGGATAGATTTTATGGTGAGGAAAACAAAAGCCCAGTTCACATTTCTCCTTTCAATAGCTTCTTTCTATGACCCAATGAACAGTCTGACCCAAGGTTAAACTAAAATAGCGCTCCTCTTTTTTCTTTTTCTTTTTTATCATGAATGTTTACTGGTTTGAAGAACCTCTAGATTTAATCTTGGATGAAATTCTTTCGTTTTTCCTTCAAAATTAAAATTATGCTTCTTTTTTCGTTAAGAACCACCAAAAATTATGCTTCTTTTAATTTTAAACCGTCGAAGGTCGCTATATGGTGGATCCCAACAGGCCCCCATCTTGAAGTGGCAGTCCTCTGGTAACATTTGGCTTTTGAATACAAAACATGAAGCTTGATGCCTTATGTAAGGATAATTGGAGACCGTCGTACTTGATGCCTTATGTAAGGATAAAAATAGAGCATGCAACAAAAAATCCAAAATGATCGATGTCTAATTTTGAAAGTAGTTTAGACTTTAGTTTAGAGCTATCTTTTATGAATCTCTGATGAGCTTCATGGAAGACACCAGCTTCGCTGCCAACAAATCACACTATTAGTGGAGAGGTACTTGTGCGGGATATCAGGGATATCTCAGTCCCTTTGGGAAGCAATACGGAAAGCTAAAATTTAAATATGTTGCAAAAAGGAATACACATCCCTTGGCATTGTATTGGAATCAATCAACATCTTCTAACTATACAACTGGAGTTTTTCTTTGGGAACCGACCACGGTAAAGAAAAGAAAAAAAGCATTACTTAATTTGTGCTAATGACTTTTGCACTTATACACACTTCATCGATGGTTCCAATGAACAGTCTGACAAAATAACGTGTTAGATTTTTTTGGTAAAAGAACACTCCCTTTATGCCTGACACCACTTTTTTCCACACATACTTACTCTAAAGCAGGTGTTAGCTAGCTATTATTTCTGCAAGGAAACAAGAAAAAGTCATGGTACCCTGTCCGATTTGATTCATTGCTTGTTGATAATGACCTATACTGAACTCTCAAACGAAATAGTCGACAATGGTCAAGAGCATATCCTGCAAATTGATCCTTGCTTGAAAAAGAGGCTCTTGAAGAAAAAGTGTTCATCTAGGAAACATAAAATATTGATCCTTTTAGTTGATGCCTGTTCGCCCAACGCTCGTCTAACTTTATATATACATGTATTAAATATGCATGCGTCAATATAATATATATATATATATATGTAAATTCTCAACTTGAAGTTCTTTTTTGCTGGATTAAGAATCTCTAAAGATCATCACACACCTCTAATGGTCCACATTAAGCTGGAAACCCTTGCACAACTAGAAAGTGAGAAATAACAAAACATTTCCATCATAACATGTAGATGAAGACAAAGCTCTCGTTGTTCAATCATTCAAATGAAAATTCCAACAGAGAAACTAATCTTTATGTGGAGCCTTATAGGACCCAGTTGGGATTAAAAAAACAATTTCTTGGTATGGGAAGTGGGTAAGGAGGCAGTACCAGTGTGATCTCAAGCAAAGAGAGCCATGTTCATGTGGCCCTCCCTTGTCTCAATCCAAATGGTCACGTCCAAAGGGAGGGCATATCAGGTTGCTTCTTTCCGTGAGGCTCGAGAGAAACCCTAAAACCCTACCCTCCTTCCTTCTTCAATATTCATACGGGTTCAAAATTCACAAAATTTTGATATATACATGCAGGTGTTCTATGTTCCCCTAACATGTGATGGCCTAGACTTGCTCATGTGAAACCCACATGTCAACCATACCACGTAATCAAAATTGTCAATGTCCTGCCGCCAACCCAAAAAAACTACCTTAATTTCATAATTTTTTTGAAAACCCCATTAGAATAATGGTGAAATTTATGTGCTTCTAATTAATATTTTAGAGATTGCTACTTTGTTCTTTCTACCTTTCTTGTCGATGTCCCTATATGATCGTGATATTTGTAAAGTAGACATTGTAGGGGTAATTGAGGTCTAATGGTCATGGGAAATGTTGATGTCTGTTTCTTTGTCGAGGAACAGCTTTATTTGTCAATGGTTTTCATGTCTGTGAATTTTTTTCCTTGTCTGCATGAAAAGCCAATTAATTAGCTGGTCCTGACTTAAACACTGCTTTGCTCAACTGCCAAACCTGTTCTCTCTTGCTTAAAGGTGTTAATAATAGTCTAATTTGTTGGAGCTTCATAAATCAATCAAAGATAAAACTTTCTGTGCACTAACGCGTTTTCTGTACATGTATTTTCATTTGCACCATCTCAGCTGAGGATAAGTTGTACTGCTGAGAGAGATGATTAAAAAAGTTTTATTCTTTCTGTTTTGTTTAGTCACCTGCACCAAATTAAGCTGATAATAATAAAGTGAATTAGTCTCTTCCCCCAGTGTTTTGTTTAATTACCTGCACCAAATTAAGGCCAGCCACTAGATTAAGTGATTTGATTTGATTTGATTTTTCTCTATTACAAAGGATAGGATATTTTACAAGGATATTTTTTACAACAAACCTTTACACCAACAACAAAGTTACACTACCACAATGGAACTAGCAACAATTAGGTCTTGGGCTCATCACACACACATATGCATATTGTGGGAGCGTGTACGTGGACCAAACTACCCCCCTTAAAAGGGGCGCGAAGATCAGTAGCACATCTCATCCTCATCAGTGAGGAGTGACGTAATTACTCTGAACCAGTAGAGGTCCTGCCATAATTGATAAGAGTGTGGGCTCCGTAAGATCCCACGTGCACTATGGGAAAAGCCCAATAGAGCCTGTTAAACCACCGGGTGTCGTTGCCCGTTATATCATAGGGTAAGTCCAAATGGGACTAATCTTTGGGCAGCACGCCTCAGAAGCGGATCAACATTGATCCCCAAGATCTCCCTAAATTACTGCTACACACATTTTGGGCAAATATCTCACATGTCCCAAGTCAAACGATTAATTTACTGGATGTGTGATATAACGGGCAACGATGCTCCCAATTGATGTCATATGCAACCTTTTACAACATTAAACCAGCCACCAACAAGTCATATAAAACCTGATCACAACTACAAGAAGGTAATGTTCCATCATGACCTACGAAACCAGAATTATTCTTGTCTAGAATTGACTTAAGCATCGTAAAGTCTTTGGCTCACACCACACTAGTGTACAAGGACTCGCGATTTTTCATTTTCTCTTAAATCTCGGGGGGCCAATTTGGGCTTCGTTAGGAGTAGAAGAAATATATCACTAAATGATATGTCGAACCCAAGAAATCCTCCAACTAAGTGAAGAAATATATCACTAAATGATTTTTTTTTAAAATTTATAAAAAGGCGATAGAATTTTATTAGATCATAAAATAAAGAGTATAAAGGACACATAATGTAAAAAGAGACATCCCAATAACAATATGGCAACCATGAACTTCCCCAGTGACCTAAGCGAGTCGAAAAGCTAAAATGATCAGAAGAGAATCACACTCGAAAATAACTTTTCTAAAACCCCTTTCAACTGCCATAATTTCCCTGAATCTAGTTCAGTGATATAAAAAACAAAAACTAACCGCTAACCAACCGGTAACTGGCATGACTCTCAAGAGACTAAGAACATGGCCACTAACCGAAATATATCACTAAATGATTTTATTAAATAAAATATAAGTCTTAGGATTCTCCAAACTTTTAATGGAAAAATATCACATCTGCCGCCCAGAATCTCATTGGATGTCCTGGTTGACCCTTAATAATTGATCGATTACCAGAAATGGAGATAGATCAATATATTAAAAGCTCGTAATATGAAAGACTAATTAAAATATATAGTGTGTATGTATGCTACACCCCTACCTCAGATCTTCAGTTTTAATGCATACTTTAGTGCTACGTACTAAGACACTCAATTATAAACACAGTCTCAGAGTACTATATAAAACCAGGTTTTCTGAGGGCACATGCATACAGTCAACAAGAACATGGAAATCGACCAAAATTCCGACTTCGGTATTTTAATTTATATTGATTAAAACTTATTTAATTATAATAAGAGCAAGCAAATTAATTCCTTTCACATGCAAAGATCATGGGCCGTTTGGGAGGTTACTTATCAGAAAACTGTTGCAAAAATGGATCAACCACCCGACAGAATCCTCATCAATTTTGATTTAATTTCAGCTATAATACTATGGATGGTTGGTGAATTAATTTTTAATTTTTATTTGGATTTTCATGCACTTTATATTGAAAGATATGTCAACGAAGGGGTGGCAACATTTTATTCATGTCACATGGCATCGAAATGGTTGTTACTTGGACTTCGCACACTAAGATCGACAAGGCTTTTGACAAAAAAGAAAGAAAAAAATCAACAAGGCTGATCTAGATTAGGAATTAATCTGCCAAGTCAAATTAAACTAAACAAATTAACGGGGAGTCGGGGCTTGAATTGATGTTGCGTATGCATTTAAAATTTTCAGAAATAGTAGGAGAGAGATTGATGCATGATACTTGATGGTTAACACTAACTTTGCTATTAATTAAATTTACTTTGACTACATTTTGTGTGAATGTCAAATTACTCTGTCATTATCTTAGGGTGAATGCCATTATCTTATAATGTGCTTATAATTATCACTTAATTGTCTGGGTTGTGAGGAACTTCTGGGGACCACATGAAGCTATAATAGAATTTTTTTTTTCATTACCATCGAGGTCAATGAAGGAGGAAATTCAAACTATGAAAGAAAAACAAAAAAAGAAGAAAAAAATTCTTGTTTGATATTTTTTTTATAAACTCATACACACTATACAGATGCTAGGCAATGAGTCTACATTAGTGGGTCCATTGCTTATACTTAGATACACACAAAAGAATTTTTGAATCCAAAATTAAGTTCAAAGTCAGAATTTTGGTCCAAAACAAATTTTTTTTGGATTAATTTGTTTACCTAGTCTAGGTTTTAGATTTTTTAATCATCGAACAAACATGAACATTCTTTTTTTGACAATAGAAAACAAACATCATTCACTTGCCAAGTCGCATAGCATGATCATTCGTTATCTTTTCTTGTTTTCCTTATTGTTCTCTCGACAATGCTTTTTTGCATATGCTTTGTTTCCATAAAAGCGATTTAAATTTCAGCGGAGATCCCCTCATTGGGCAAACCGCGTAACCTCTCTCAAAGACAAAAACTTTTTAAACACTCATCACTCCCAGAAAGTTCAAAAGTCCCTTTAGACTTTTTTTTTTAGCTTTCTTGCAAGCAACTCTTTCTCCTCAGCTTGCGTAGTTGCTGACGATCCCCTTTGAACATCCCTAAAGAGTGTCAGTTCTCTCTCTCTCTCTCTCTCTCTCTCTCTCTCTCTCTCTCAGTTATAGTTCAAAATGCACTAAATATCTATCATCCCAAAAAAGAATGTAATTTGAAACCCTAACTCCAACGTACACAAACACTTTTGGTTTTGCATCATGAGAGATCAAAAGCTTTTTAATTTAATTAACTTTTCCAACACACACGGCTTTAAAAATGTAAAGGGCCCATCAAGAATTAGTGGAGTTCCGCCGGCCAACGTCGGCAGCAGCAAATATATGAAATCGGTCAGTCACCATCTCAAGCCGCAAACTACGGTGGCGCCATTACGTATGCTACATGGCAATTGGCAAGCAACATGGCTATATATGAGTTCACACACATATAAATTATAATAATAGAATATTATACAAAACATACACTAATCACATTGTTTTGAATTAATAATACATCATTATCACAATGGATTTAATTATAGTTTCCAAGACATTAAGACAATTTGGTGCCACGCAATGACTCAAACTAGTTTTACAAATGAAGCTAAGCCACTTCACATCCACAGCACGGACCGAGTGCACTTCTCTACATTCAAAAAAATAAAATAGCTAAAATGTAAATAAATAATAGAACTCAGTAACCAATTAACTTTTGGCAAAAAAAATTTTGTTCAGCTGATGTGATTTTCGTCACTGTTTTCTTGTACTCGGTGTTGAAACCTGGCTATCGTTTCATCGACCTGGCACGGGGCTGCGGTCGTCGAAGGATAGCCGAAAAACCCACTTAGTGAGTGACCGTCTTCTCGAGTGGTTGGTTTGGCTGCGACCATTGGTGTCGGGGACATTGAAGTACTCGCCGACAAAGGCCTTCAGCCGACGCATTGCCAAGTCGAGAGTTTTCTCCGATAAGTTGGCAAAGCAGACACGGAACCAGCCAGGTTCTGTGCAATGACAAGACGATCCGGGAGAGATATTGAGACGAACTTCGTACACAATTTTTTTCCAAAGCTCCATTTCGGCTTCAAAAGTGTTGGACCTGAGCAAGTCCCTCATGTCTACCCAACAGAACAAGCCGGCATTGCCCTTGAGGCAGCTAATCCCGGCTTTCTGAAGGCCGGACACGAGCGTTTTTTGACGTTGTTTGAGCCTCTTTTGGTTCTCGGAAATGTAGTTCTTAGTGAGTTTCTTGTCAGAAAGCATGGCGGAGAGAAGGTACTGAGTTTGAGAAGATATAAGCCCGAAGCTTGACATTTTTGTGGCGGCTGCCACAACCATGTCGTCGTTGGAATAAATGGCGCCAACTCGAAAACCGGGAAGGCCAAGATCCTTAGAAAGGCTGTAAACAACGTGAACTCGGTTCCACATTGGGGAATTCTCGTCACATTTTCTCTCTTTGAGAATTTCCATGACGCTTGTGAAGGATGGGGAGCTAAAAACAGTGCCGGAATAAATTTCGTCACTAATTAGATGGATGCCTTTGTCTTCGACGAAGGAAAGGAGGAGGTTGAGTTCACTTCTGGTCATTGTGGTACCCAAAGGGTTTGATGGGTTCGTGACCAAGACACCTTTGACTCTTAGATTGCGTTTTTGGGCTGCTTGGTAGGCTTCTTGGAGAGCGGTTTCAGTAATTTGGAAGTCATTGGAGCTCGTGCAGTGTATGGGTACAATCTCAACCCCGGTGCGCCACTTGAGGTCTCTATCAAATCTGCAAGAAATGCAAGCAAATATCATTACGGAATGAAATGCGTAATTATTTTCCCATCGTGAACTAAAGTCCACGAGGAGACATGAAAGTACTATGGAGTTCAAATCTCATTATTAAGATACGTACCCTGGATAATATGGGGTAGGAATGAGAACGGCTTCGCCAGGGTTGGCGAGGCAGAAAATAAGGGTCTCATTTGCTGAAGTTGCACCGGCGGTGAGAACCAAGTGGTTGGGATCAAAGGTGACTTTGTTTCCTCGGATTTCCGCCATGAAATCCACCAATGCCTGTAATGAAAATAATCAAAAAATCTGAGTCAGACATGCGCCAGCTAGAAGCTTACTTGGTGGGGTCGTGCCTTTGAATTGCATTAAGGAAAAGGAAAGCTACATATAATTGTACAAAATAATTCATGTGTTTACCTTTTTGAATGAGGGAAGGCCGTGATAATCTTGGAAGAGAGCAAGCTCGGCAAATATGGACTCTCCATTTCTCTTGAATCCAGCTGCGTCTGGGTTCTTCGCAAGCCATGACTCAAGAATATCAAAGGATAACTGCAAAGCAAAACATTTACAGAAATATATAAATAATTTCTCGAGAAAAAAAAATGAAAATAAAGGGTATTTATGCATGGTATTAACAATATTGTACCAAAAATGAAAATTATTAGTTAATTATTACCTGATTCTCTGCAAGACCCATCTGAATAATCCCTTTTGTATTCTGGACCTCATGGTAGGGATTCTTCTCATACTCTTGCCAGCCTAGGAAGTATGAGGAGTCTTGGCCGTGAGAGTTGCACGTAGCTTTTGTAGACAACATGCACATTTTGATTTTGGAAAAAAAAAACACAACTCTCTTGATATAAATAGAAGCTTAGCTAGATGTAAACTAGCACAAAAGTGCAAAGGAAAGAAAGCAAGAGAGAGAGAGAGAGAGAGAGAGAGAGAGAGAGAGAGAGTTGAGGTTTTGGTTTTGGTTTTGGTTTTGATTTTGGAATGCAAGTTTGAATTGGGTTATTGGGTGTTGTTGGAGTGAAGGGGTCTATTTATAGGGAAAAAGTAATCATAGATAATACAGAGAAGATTTGTCTAACAAAGGAATGCCACGTCACACTTTGAGTACCGAAGAAAGAGATATAACAAAAGTTTTTCTTTTGCTTAATATATATGAAGTTTGATCCAATAAAATTCAATCGACAACATGATAATTGTACGCGCTTTTCTCCACCGTCCCAAAGCAAGAAGACATTAAGCAGACTTTTACACTCCTAATACCCAGTTTTAGTGTTAACTAATCAATATCAATTAATTATATATAATTAATTTAATTTTTTTCCACATTTTCTTGGACTGGGAAGTGTCTTGCACCACCTACAAACTAGCGTGGGGTTACAAATGTACAAAGCAGCATTAATGAGATGGTAATCGGAAAAACAAAGAAACAAAAATCAAGACTTGGGGTCTAGTTTTGTATAGAAACCATACCGACAGCAAGTATCATAGAAAATGGCTAGAGTGACCCACCAGTTCCATGTAAACTTCGACCTGTGATTGTGCCCCCTGGTCCATATGCTGCTTGACTGGAGTAGCCACAACTAATTTTGTCGGCCATTCTTCTCCACTTTTGTTAACCTTTTCATATGAGTTCTTGTGTCTGCTTAGTTCATCACCCTAATGCCCAAACAATCTTTTGATTTGAGTCAACCTCGAAATTTTGGTGGGAACAAAAATGGTATCTCTCTCTCTTTTTATTAATTTTTATCATAATTATTGTAGCTATACAAACAAGGGAAAACCCTAGAATCTGATGTAAAACTTCAAATGGTTTGATATGAGATTATTAATGAATTAAAGTATCTATTAATATTTAAGTGATGAGTAAATTTGTCTTGTTGTATCTAATAATAATCGATAAATTATTGTATGGTATAACTCGTTCATATATTAAAATATAAGCGGACGACAATATTAAGATTTTTTACTTATTTCAATACCACACTATAATCATTCGAAAGATGACTCAATTATGTTACCCAACTTACCCTTGTATCTGAGATAAAAATAAATTAATAAAAAACTTACCCATTGTATCTAAAATACAAGCTTCCACTGATATTTGACTAAAAACTTTTTAACTGCATGCAATTGTTAAATTTGCAACTAATTAAGATTACAAAGAAAAAAAGAACACGAAACTAGCTAGAAAAATCCAGAGATGCCAATTACAAAAGAAAATGTTGAAAAAATAAAAGTAAATTTCAGAAAAAAACAAAACAAAAAAAGAGGAAAATAAATAGAATTCTAAGACTTGAAATAGGGATAGATGAATATTAAATTATTAACTAAAAGAAAAGCTAGCAATAAAATAAAAAATTTAAAGGACACATCTCTATCACCCAAAAAGTATATAAAGAATCAAACATATATATTTATTTAGAAAGTGATGCTATACTTATCATATTTGTATATTATATTCTCATACCACCTCATGTGACTGATGAAGTGGACAGTCACATCAATTAAAAAATGTCAATAAATTATAAAAGAAAAGAAAATATTAAATTAATTTTAATTGATGTGGTTGTCCACCTCGTCACCATATAAGGTGGTATGAGAATGTAGTATACAAGTAGCATTATTCTTATTTAGAAGACCAAAGTATCTTATTTAAGAGGCTAAATATTTTCATAAGAAATTAGCTATTTTATATAATGGTCCAAATAGATTATGAAACGGGATATTGTATTATTAAATACCTTACATCTGTTTTTTTTTTTTTGGTTTAATAATAAAATTCCAAATAACTTAGTTTTATTGTCAAAATCTAATCCCTTAAAAAAAAAATGTTATTATAGGTCTTCTTCCTAATGCATGGCCCATGGATTGCACATGTAAAAAAGGAGTTGCAAATTGATTCAAGGAGCCGAAATTTAAGTGGCACATCTTGATTGGACTGGAAAAACTGAATAGCAAATCTTTGGTAGTCGTATTTTCATGATATATAATGTCTTGGCTCTTGGGCGGTGGGGACTCGGGGTTTCCTATTCAAACTTTGGAATGCAATGATGAAGCTACAACATAAAAAAAATGCTTGGTAAAGTTGGTTGCATTATGAAAATATTAAAGCAAGCAATAATTATGCTTAACAACTTCTAATCCATTAGTCCGCCCTTTGTTTCTGCTACCTGATTTCTAAACTTTCCCATTGTAATTTGCATAGATTATTAGGTCTTTGTTGTCCCATTTACGGGAAATAATAAGTTAAAAAGCGCACTTTACATGAAGCTCACTTAAGAAATGTCGTTTTTAGGTAATAAATGAAAGGGATTAAGAGAGAGTTGATCTTTTATACAATTTGTATTTGATATGGAACCAACTAATTAGTATTAATTAGTAACAGGCTGAGCAAGTAGGCGATGGTAATGGGGCGCATCGATAGCTAGATCCCAGATTTCCTTGGTTTTTTTTTTGGCTTAGGTTTTATTTGCATGTTACTTTTTGAGAGATTTGAAACAACAAAAGTGAGTGACAGCTCAATGTGGCATAGCTTCTTTGATCCTGGTTTTGATATCTTGCTATTGGGAGGGGTAGGTGGGTCTCTCCTCAGTTCCCGAAGAAACTACCATTTGAAGTAAGAAACCCAAAAAACTAGTCTATGAAGATGTAGTAGTTGGTAATAAGAAAATAAAGACCGTTTTGATTGGATGAAGAAGCATACACTTTGACTGAATTTTATGTGTAAACAAATAATAAACAAGGAGGTTTCTATTGCTAAACAATTTGGCATAGAATTTCGTAATAACATGTAAAATAGCTTCTCACACTCTTTAGTACGTTTCACTCCATAATGGGTCTAGCTAAAAGCGAAGACTTTATTTATTATATTGTTGCATTATTGCCTTGGGCATGTATAAGCTTTGCAAAGTTGATTAGAGCGGATGTGCTTCTTACTCTGCATCCGATTAAAATAGAATATCATTTATATTTATAATAAAAAAAACCATATTGCATCGGATTCTAAGGGCCAGTTTGGCATTGTTGTGCTGTGAAAATATTTGCTGTCAGATTTGCTGTGAAAGAAATCAGCTGTGAGAGAAAGCAGTTTGGCGTTTGGTAATTTTTTTGTTAAAAGTGTTGTTAGTATTGATTTCCTCATAATCAGAAAATGATTGCGGCATAATCATTTAACGCAGCGCCTCTTCAAAACCGATTCCTGCATAATCGAAAAAATGAAAGCACCTCATTAGCTGCTTTTCCTTATAGCTTTCTCTCACAGCAATTTTTAACAATAAGTGATTTACTCACAGTTTACCAAACGGGCTGGACTTCCCAAAATTTTTAAAAAATCACTTATCACCCTAAATAAGCAATGCCAAACGGGCACTAAGTGTCTAATTCATTAGATTGTAGTTAGAGTCCAGTGCAATGCGCTAATGTAATCAATAATCTTTGCATTATTTCAAATTAATTAGCTATGTATCAAAGTTAATGATTAAGCGAAAGATGCATGGGCAAGCAATGTCCAAGATAATTAATAATATTACCCATTCATTTGAAACCATGCAACAATTAATTGCGGTCTCTCGGTTAGCTAGAATGATCTGATTGATTTGTGACAAATTGGCATATAGGCTTGGACCGCTTGCCGGATTCAAGCATGCTAATGGGACGACAAATAAGACGTGATTAGATAATATCCAAATAATGTAGTGGGAATTATCCTCTTAAGTGCACCATTGGATCACACATAGATGGTAAATATATTACATAAACAATTAGTGATTAAGGCTTCAAGCAAAAACAAAACAAAACAGAAAAACTCCTCGAGAAATATGTTGAGTTTTTCTGTTTGATTTGATTTTATTCGATGCTCCATTAAAGAATGATAATAGGACTGAGTTTTTGAGCTTCTCTTCTTCCACGGTTGTACTTTTTTTAAGTTTCCTCTTGTACCACAAGTCGAGTAGATTCCCTAAACAAATTTGACTAAAGGAAAAGAGGCTAGCTAGCTAGATAATAATTTGTCTTTTTTGAAACCCTCAATTTGGGTTGGTATTATTAGTTATTGCTAGGGCTAGTCATTAGCCTAGCTTAAAAAGCTTAAAAGATGGGTTAGGGAATGTTAAAACTTGAATTGAGATAGAATGATGAAGAGGTAAATTAATCAAAGAATAATAGAAGAGCCACGTGGTTTGTAGTAGAGAGGAGCTATTAGGGCATGTGAAAGCCTCGTTTAAGTGCCCCCCACCACACCCTCTCTCTCTGTAAGCAAATGCATTAAGAAGTTGGGGGACCATAAGAGACTTAGTCCATGCTGACAAGTAACATGTGTGCTCACGTTCGACCATTCCGAGTAGACATTGCCATGGTCCATTTGCCCCCCCTTTCTTCAATAACGTAGGCCCCAATTTCTTCCTTACCCTCCAATTTTACATTTTTGTTTGTATATATGTGTATATAATTATTATAGATATATATGTGTGTGTATATAATATTAGCCAGTTAACAAAAGGTCAACGAAAGCTACGCATACCCACTTAATTACTAGAAGCAGAAACGTACGTAAATCAATTGGGAGACAGCTCCTCAAATGAATTGCCCAAATCTTTCTCTCTCTACAAGATGAGGAAAATGTTTCAAAGTTTTCTTGCTTCTGGGACCATTGACTTTAACCAAAGTCATCAGGAATTGAAGGAGAGGTATAGGTGAAGTACGTGCTGCTCAAAATTCAAGCTGCTTTTGATGTTAATATGTGATGAGTGTAACAGCTTCCAACAAAATACCTCTACTTATCTGGATAATCTCTCTCTTGCTTGGGAAGGAAGGGATTGATTTGTAAAAATAATAAAATATTATTGGTCAGAGCTCAGAATGCATGCATGTTGTTTTACATGGAAATTATGTAATGTTGAGTTGATTTGGATTCATACGGCTGACTATTTCGTTTCGATCTACTTATCTAATTGGGATAATTAGTCTAAATGTGGATTTTAGATTGGTTTGATTGGGC